TACTAAATATTTAATGTCATGGCTTATATGAAACGTTATGATAAATATTTAACACCATGGTTAATGTAAAACGTTGTGGTAATTTTTTAACGTCATGGATAAGGTTAAACGTTGTAGATAATATTCAACGTCATAAATTTTGTAAAACCTTATGGCAAATAATTATCGTCATGGCTTAAGTGAACCGTTATGGTAGATATTTAACGTAATGGTAAATATTTAACGTCATGCCTTATGTAAAACATTATAGTTCATGTAAAACGCTTGAATATTTAAATATATTAAATATTTGATATCATTTCATTTTGATTAATGTAATACGCTATGGTAAACAGTTAACGCCAAGTCAAACGCTATAGTTTGTAAAAATTCGTGGTAATCATGACTTACTTTTAAAAAAATAATCATTTTTCATGAAAAGTGTAGTAATTCTTTTTGATTTTTTAGGATAATATAGTTTAATTTTTTGTTTTAGTTAATATATGTTATGTTGTGAAATTGTGCTTCGATTATAGGTTTTTGTGTAAAAACTATGATATAAACTCATATATCTTACCTTACTAAGCGTTAATCCAAAATATTGTGTTAATCCGATACAGCTATGCTTTGTAACGCTTTTCAAATACAACTGAGTAACGTAGTTAAATAACTTTGTAACGTTACGTTATATCCCAAATATCTATGTAACGTTAACTTATATCCGATAACACTATGTAACGTTTCGTAATATCCGATACAACGATATAACGTAACGTTATATCGGATACTATTCACCTACGTAACGTCAAGTGTTATCCGAAAAGCTATATCCGACACAGCTATGTTACACTACGGTCGTCTTTACTTTGTTTCTTGTAACGTTGATATGCGATTTACCACTGCACGGTGTAATTATCACACCTAGTATGAAATAACTTTTGACCTAATTTGAAATTGAATAGGATTAAAAACTCACCTTTTGCATTGTCACCCATTGCTGTGTTTATGCTGAGAAGCGCTATGTGACTTTACGACCTCGGGCATTTACCATCAAATCTATGTATTTGTTAAAATGACTGGTAGGGATAATACAGCCAGTGTTATAGTATTGTATTTACATTGTGAATACGAGTATTGTATGTTTTATTGTAAAGCGATCATTTATTGTATTCGTAATAAAGAAATATATCCAATTGCTACATTGTTCCCTATATCTATACCTTGTTTTGTATATACCCAACAAACTATGTTTAAAGATGGGTTTCCTTAATTTTTAGTGTTAAAATAAGCAAACTATTTGATTAATTGGTGTTCCTAATGAATTATCATGTATTCTTAATCATATCATTATGTTCTTATTGCATATAATTACGAGTCTTGATCAATCATAAATGTCCATGAATTTCCATAATTATAGATAAACAAAAAAAGACTTTTTGACCTTTCTTGATCGGTCACTCATTGGAATCCTGCTGATTCTGGTGTAATTTAGCTAATTATGAATTAATTATGGACATGTGAGAGAAAATGGCATTTTTCCAAGACGTTAAAAAACCTCTACTTTCTATTCATATAAATATTAGCATTTTCATCGTCATAGATAAAAATACAGGAACCCATCTTTAACTGAAAAGCTTTCCATCATTAATGCCCCTACTTTAAACAAACGTTCCGAACATGTCTCGAAGTGTAAACATGAGAATAAGTTCTTCTTGTCCTACTTCAGTGGGACGAAGGCTGAAAATAGGTCAGTTGTCTAAAAATCGCATAGCGTGAAACTCAGAGTAACAACAAACAATATTTTAAAAACAAGTTGAATTGAAGTCTTACTTGCTTGATTGTGATAATGATGATGCTAGGACAACGCAACATAGTGTACAATTAGGCCGTCTTAGCCTATTCTATTTTCGTTTGGAAATCTGTATGTGAACGGATCCCACAGAGAAAAATATTTCTATGAATTTGCCTAACTATTTTTTAATGTCTTCCTCATCTGCACAACGGTCAAGGTATTACAAACTTTGTCTTATACATTGACTACGATAGCCATTATTCTTGTATCACGGAATGCTGCGATTTGATTGAATTGTAACCAGCGAATACAGCCAATCATAGCTTATTATTTAAAGACTTTTCGTCGATGACTTTGAATGACTGTATTCACTAGCGTACAATCCAATCAAATTACTGTATTTACAAACTCCAATGATAGAAGAACAGTGAAGGTGTGTATAATCAGTCTATTATTTCATTAAAACGACTTGCGTGCTTCGAGTTCGAGAAGAACATAAATATTGTAATGCGGTGTACAATGAGGACACTGTAAGATATTCGATTATATTAATTCTTTAACTCTAACTACTCCGAGTCAAGGTTTGGCAACTCATCCAAATGAATAGACATTTATTGATTTTGATATTGTGGTCTGAATCAAGATACTGTTTGGATTATCTATGATTATCTACCTTTAACTGAGGACTATGATATCACGAAGGTTCCGAGGAACGTCTGTACAAATTTTGGTGCTTGTCTCACCAGGTGAAAGATTCTTATGGAATATCGATTTAATCTGTCTAATCCATTAATATAGGCTTATAGTTATATTACATTATGTATACCTGGGATTCATTTTGAAAACGCTCTGTATGCACCAAAAATTTTAAAAAAGAATACGTCTATAGAGTTTTAGAGAAATTATTTTTTTGGTTACGCTGGCTAAATCGTTATGTTGTGTCATGGCCCTACGTTGAAAAGTTATGCACATAAAAATATTTTAGTTAATAATACTGTTGATGTACAATGGGACTATAACTAGAATATAAAAATATATGGACTGTTAACGGACTGTTTTTGGATTCTCAACCAATCAGAATCAATAGCCACTGTAGACTCGGTCAATTACAAAGGTTTTAAGAAACCGGTCCAAGCCATGTTTCGAAGCTGTACGTAGACTATGAATAAAGTTAAAGGCATACCTCATTGTATCAATATTATTTTTGATTTTCGAAAATGGAACAAGATTCACGCCGGCTGCGTCATTCTAAATGGGAAGCTTCAACTTAAAGATGGTAGGCTACTTTTTTGATCCAAAACATCAACAAAACAAAAAGTCCAGTAAGACGAATGTAGGAAATTATATTCAGAGATAATCGACAATGGAGACGGCAATTCAGTTTCTTCCAAGACGCTTCCATTTCTCAAGTATGTCTTGTACACAGAGGTAAACCGAAATATTGGATTCAAATGGGCCAATCAACTACCAGAAAATGATGACGCAGATGATGACGTCATTTGTTACGATGGTAACGCCGATGCAATCATAATGTTGACGTCTGGAGCAACTGGCTTGTCCAAAATGGTGGTCCATTCCCATTTACTTCTCAAATCCATCCTGGAGCCTGTACACTCGAAATGTCGAATGTTGAATTGTTACTCATTGGGTTGGATACCAGGTTTACCTCACCATTATGTAATCACAGGCTCGAAATCTGTTTACATAGACCAGCGAAATCCTCCTTAGATGCCTCCCATTGGCATTAATATTTTTCTTAAATAGCGTAATTTTAGCTAGAAATAGCTGAAAATGGACAGGAAAATAGCAGACTAGGTACCTAAAATAATTTCAACTTTTTTCTAAAGTAGCTAAATTTTAGCTAGAAATATCTGAAAATAGAGCTGAGAATAGAAGACCAGGTACTCAAGTATATTTTCCCGAACCTTCTCACCTTCTTATTGTTTTATTAAAACGATTTGCATGCTTCGAGTAGAAGTAAATATTGTGGTCTGAATCAAAAAGATACTATTATTTTATTATTAAAGATTATCTATGCTTATCTACCTTTAAGTAAGGACTATGATATCACGAAGGTCCTGAGGAACATCTGTACAAGTTTTGGTGCTTGCATCACCAAGTATCTCTAATTTAGGTTAATATTAAATTGTGTATAAGTGAATTCATTATAAATACGCTTTGTATACGCCCAAGTATACGACAATTGTTCAGCGTAGCCTATAACAGCGGTTTAAGGAAATTTAAAAACAATGCCTTAGGCTGGCTAAATCGTCTAGGTGTGACAGGGCTACAAGCATTTCAAAATTTGATACACTGGCTTGCGTAAGCTAAATCGTTATGTTTTGGCATTGCCCCATTTTGCGAATAAAAGTTTATCACTTCTTATTAACTATTACTACAGGTCTTTTCTTGCATGACAAGCTTTATTTTACCATTGCTATGGTCAAATAGGCGAGGTCGGTTACGGTCTTTTACGAGCCACAATCTGTGAAGCGAAACTTTTGATAGACGAGAAAAAAACTATGTCAAACGTACACAAAAAATAGCTGAAAGTTAAATATGGATTTCCCTTATTTTCATTCATGAATTGAAAAAGCTAATATATAATTATATGAATATATGAGTTGTTCAGAAAAATACCAGTTTGTCTCACATATCTATAGAAAATAATTGCCAGCAGACCAAGAAAGGTCAAAAAGGGTTTTATTTTTTTTGATCCAGACTGTACTACATACATGGACATTTGTGATTGGTTAAAACTCTTAATTATATACAATAAGAACATAATGATATGATTAAGAATACATGATAATTCATTAGAAATTTAGAATTAATCAAATATTTTGCTTAATTTGACACTATAAATTAGGAAACCCATCTTTAAATATTATTCTAGGACGATAGAGTAAGTGCTAGTGAGTTAATTTGATATGATCGTATTGACCGTTTCACTTGGTATACATTGTAGTATTTTCACCACGTCGTGGACAAAAAATAGATTTACCGATCTGTATTGTTACGGTTGACTATAACTAGAATATAAAAATATATGGACTGTTAACGGACTGTTTTTTATTTGTTTGTAGGAAGTTTGTTATTTTATTCACTTGTTGGACAGTTGAAGGAACAACACTAAAATATCATCGTCTTAATTTCCAGAATATCATAACAATCGCTGAATTTCTTTACATGTTCATTATCTTCTTTACATGTTCGTTATCTTCTTTACATGTTCATTATCTTATTTACATGTTTATTATCCTCTGTGCATGTTCATTATCCTCTTTACACGTGCATTATCTTCTTTACATGTTCATTATCCTCTCTACATGTTCATTATCTTCTTTACATGTTCATTATCTTCTTTTCATGTTCATTATCTTCTTTACATGTTCATTATCCTCTTTACATGTTCATTATCTTCTTTACATGTTCATTACATGTTCATTATCTTCTTTACATGTACATTATCTTCTTTACATGTTCATTATCTTCTTTACATGTTCATTATCCTCTTGACATGTTCATTATCCTCTTTACATGCTCAATATCTTATTTACATGTTCATTATATTCTATACATATTCATTATCTTCTTTACATGTTCATTATCTTCTTTACATGTTCATTATCTTCTTTACATGTTAATTATCCTATTTACATGTTCATTATCCTCTTTACATATTCATTATCCTCTCAACACGTTTATTATCCTCTTTACATGTTCATTATCTTCTTTTCATGTTCATTATCCTCTTTATATGTTCATTATCTTCTTTACATGTTCATTATCTTCTCAACATGTTCATTATCTTTTTTACATGTTCATTATCTTCTTTACATGTTCATTACATGTTCATTATCTTCTTCACATGTTCATTATCTTCTTTACATGTTCATTATCTTCTTTACATGTCCATTATCTCTTACACAAATTCTTGCTATGTTTTGTTTTCTTTTATTTTCTTTCATTATCTCATACTCATGTAACGTAAATTCTGAGTGCCATAGGAATCGGTTGACTAATTTCAGTGGTGGTGCCAGCCTTCCTAAATCAAGGGATACATATAGGGGGTAGACTGGGGGTGGGGACAACTGTCGAGACTGAATTCAAAATGCAGCAACTCTTGGAGGCAAAATGTATGAAAAATCTATT